ATCAACAGCAACCAGCCGGACCACGGACTTCAATGGCCAGCAGGCGAAGCTTTCTTTGAACCCCTCGTGGGTAGCCTCAGTTCGGGCGACAGGCGTCACATGCGGCGGTGTGCCGTTTGCCGATGGCGGGCTTATCAAAGCTGAAGTCTCGGAGCGCCGGAAACTTCACATGGAGTTCAAGATCCCTCTCTAAAACCCAAGTTTCAAAGCAGAACCTGCAATCAATTAGGACGAGTACAGATTTACTTTTTTCTATTCAACGCTAGTTCTGATCCAACCGCTGAAAAAGCTTCATGTGACTAATGTCAACGCATGAAATCTAGCCCAACCGGAGGTATAAGTATGTGTTTACTGAAGGGAAACATCACGAGAAAACAATTCATGTTTACGAAAAGGCCTTAAAAGCCTAATCTGAGCGTTTTTACACAAGCCGTTACATTTCAGCAAAAACCTGCAGGCTGAAATCGTTGCCAGACATACCAACCACGCTGTAACACTATTGATACCGGACCGCCCACAGTAGCGCAGCGCGTCGTCGGAGCTCACCAGCCTCTACGTCGCATCACCAGCTCGACCGCGCATGTCGCCTGGGGCGCGAGCCCGTCGGGGTCTCGCGGCCGTCAGCGCGGCCGCACCCCTGGGCCGTCAGCGCTCTCCTCTGAGCCGGTGGCGCTCCCCCTCTGGACCGGCGGCGCTCCCCCCTGGGCCGACAGCGCTCCCTTCTGGACCCGCGGCGCTGCCCCTGGGCTGGCGGTGCTTCCCTCTGGACCGGCGGCGCTCCCCCCTGGGCCGGCGGCGCTCCCCTCCAAGCCGGCGGCGCGGCAGGCCGACGGCCCGGCGGCGCAGCAGCATCCGCAGGTCGTCGGCGCTCCCGTCTGCACTGGCGGCGCTCCCCTCTGGACCGGCGGCGCAGCAGCACCCGTACGTCGTCGGCGCTCCCCTCTGGGCAGGCGGCGCTCCCGTCTGGACCAGCGGCGCTCCCCGCTGGGTGGTCAGAGCTCCCCTATGAGCCGGTGGGGCTCTCCTTTGGGCCGGCGGCGCTCCCGTCTGGACCAGCGGCGCTCCCCTCTGGGTGGTCAGAGCTCCCCTGTGAGCCGGCGGGGCTCTCCTCTGGGCCGGCGGCGCGGCGGCCCAGCACCGCAATCACCAGCAGCCGCCGGCCAGCCGCCGCTCGGCGTCCAGCCCGGGGTGAGAATCAGCGCCGCCGCCGCCGTCTAATCAAGCTTGCAAATCCCGGACGCGCGCGGTCGCTGAGACTCGGCCCCCAGACCGCTCCAGATCAGCGCCGACGTGGATTTCAGAGAGCTGGCCCGGAACCACTCCTGTCCGACGGCGAATGGGAGACGCGTGTGAGGAGCTCACTGGCTCCAGAGGCGCGTGTGAGGAGCTCACTGGCTCCGGGGGCGCGTATGAGGAGCTCACTGGCTCCGGAGGAACGTTTGGGGAGCTCACTGGCTCCGGAGGCGCGTGTGGGGAGCTCACTGGCTCCGGAGGCACGTGTGAGGAGCTCACTGGCTCCGGAGGCGCGTGTGAGGAGCTTACTGGCTCCGGAGGCGTGTATGAGGAGCTCACTGGCTCCGGAGGCGCGTATGAGGAGCTCACTGGCTCCGGAGGCGCGCATGAGGAGCTCAATGGCTCCGGAGGCGAGGGGGAGCGGTACTTACTCGGATTCCACTTCGGCCACCGAACACTTGTACTGCGCCGTCGAGAAGAGGCAGATGTCGGCGAACTGGCGCACTGAAAGCGGCAGGACGCCTGTCAAGAGCAGCTGCTGGCGAGGACGCGCATAAAAACATTGCGACAAACACTTGACAAGCGCCTCAATTTCGCACTGCATTCACCGCCACAAGTCGATCGACCATACGTGGTCATGCGGTGCGCACGTTATCAGTACGTTTAACAGAATACAATGGCGAGAGGCAGCTGCCTTAACACAATTTTCGCAACCATTAATACAATATCAACAGCAACAAACCGGCAGGGTATCAGTGATCTCAGCAGGGTGACAGCAGCGTCTTAGTAGCCAATATCGCATCACTCTGGGTGCATTTCATTAAAGGAATGTTCCACATTTTTGAAGACATTGAAGCAAGCATCAGACATGACCAAATAACCTCATTTATAACTCTTGGCATACCTTTAAGTGGAAAAGACTGTTCTTGACAACGCAATTTCTTTATATAGAAGATATGCTAGTCGATGCGTCATGGTTTGCTTATGTCATCCTACCTTGCACGACACTGATTGAGAGCCAACTGACAGTCATCAACGGACGGAAATCGTGCTCACGAACGCCAGATATGAGCGACTCGACAATGATATTTTTTATTGGCCTTGATCGCCGCATGGTCGATGGAATTGCAGGATTTGAATGACGTTATTCTGGCATCGTGGAAGCCAAGATGACCTTTAACTAGTCTGCACATCTTCGCGAGCGTGTAACTTAGATTTAAGGGTTAACTTAAAAAGGGCAGAGCTGTAAACTGCACCGCATGATCTTCAAAATGACAATTTCTGCTCAAAACCCCATACCAATATAGATCACTCCCATTTCTAGGTGATTAACGGTCCGGAATGAGGAGCGGCCGGTGGGCGCCAGGAGGGCATGCATAGAGAGGGGCGCACGCCGGCGATGTGGGCCGGAACGCCCCCGTCAGAGCGACGCCCGACGAGCGCCGGCGCCCCGTCGCGTGACACACGCCCGGGCACGCGTGGTGACGTGCCCCGGGACCGGAGCGGGGGCCTCTCGCCACCGCGAACAGGCCCAGCTGACATTGGTCAGGCGGCCGCCGCTCAGAGCTGAACGGGTCGTCTGACATGGCCACCTATCACCCCCGCACTGGGGGCGACAGGGGAGACGGGGAGCGACAGCGTGGCTATCCATGCCATCAGCGGCAGGGTCGTCACATCTGAACTGCTCGGTCACACGTACAACTGCGACCCACCACCCGACTGCCACGTCAATCGGCTAATATCATCTCGGGCGCCCGGGCTACTGACTCGCTTGCCAGCGAGCGAGCCTTCCGGCAGTAGCATCAACATCCCGCCACGTGCTACCCGAGTTAGTTGGAGTGATGAGCCCCCATCTGGGGACAACGGAACAGCCCAGGAATTAAATGGACAGAGAGCGTGCCTGGAGATTTACACGGAAGTTTGCCGCGAAACAGAAACCTCCCGCACCAGCGACAAAAATCACTGAGAACTTCGCCATCACGTCACCCAAAACAAACAAAACACCGAAAGGTTTTCACCTCGACAGACCCTGCTAAATGCCGAATCAGTAACGGTACCGTCAGACATCGGCCTAGTTACTAGTTTTCGTTCCTGACTCCACTGGGTCCTTGAACAAACAAAACCCCCGACTCTGGTTCCCAGCGGTTCCTCTAACAAAACAAAACCCTGGTTCCCGCTGGTTTTATCGACAAACCGAGATCCTGGACTTGATTCTTTTCTTAGTTGTGACAGGCACTCCAAGACACTCCAAAGCACCACGCATACTCGTGATTCGGGAAGGCTTGTTTGCGCCCGTGCTCTGGCACAAATCGGCGTCCGTCCTGCCATTATCTCTATCACCCATTTTTCCACCAATGGACGGGGGCTGGGATTCCACACAATCAGTTTTGTACATGTACCTGGCCCCGTTCGTAAACTATAAAAAAGATGAACGCCGTCTTAAGACAACGACATTAGACTGTACTCACTAACACAGGCTTCTTTAGATTAAATCAGCGTTTTCCCAACCATGACTGAAAACTAGCAAGTTGTAACCTACCATTGCAAAGCGCTTGAGGATCTCACTAACATCGATATGAATCGTTTTCAATCGTGCAAGCAACCGGAAATGAGATCTGTTTCCGCGCACGAGGACTTCTTTTCCGGCCAGACCTGAATCTGACAGGCACGGCCATCAAACCGGAACGAGCACTCCGGGCAGGGTTCCAGCACGGCGGGGAAGCTGGCACGATCAAAGCTTTACAATTCCACGACCGCCATGATGGATCCGTCGTCTCTCTGACGACGGTCTTCCACAAACGTTTGTCCTTTTGACGCGAACATGACGACCACGCCATGGCGGTCAGTGCCAGCGACCATGCTCGGCTCGGCAGTGCCAGCGATCAGGCTCAGCAAATGACAGAGGGTCCACGGAGAAAGAAAGCAGGAAATGGGACAGAACAAAAGAACGGAACTGTGTGCTGGGGGTTGCAGCCAACTAAACTAAAGAGGAATTCTGCACGGACGGCTCGGATGGGATAATATTATGTGGACACAGTTGACCCACGATCCAAAGCAGAGTACGGGTGGTGGCACACCAGTTTGGTACAAGCGCCGGCCGCTAACATGATTCGTGGTGATAACGACGCTAGATACGTAGTTCATCCTTGGAAGTTTATGTGTGTCTTTATTTTATCTGGCCTTGACGGTTACCACCTCGCCAGCTTACAGGTATGCACAGCCCTTCCGTTTGTAAGCGTACCCATTCAACACGTTATACGATTAAGGAAAGTCAGACCAGGGTACGTCCTACACTCTACACAACGTTTGGTATCCAGCTCTTGCAAACCTTGTACAGCTTATACCCAATCTCATTTTACGTCAGATGTCATGATTGATGCTTTTAGACCGCCAACGAAATCAGACTTCGGTCTTTCCAAGTCACGGCGGTGTCCGTACATTCACAGCGGATACCTGGTTCAAGTCCGAGCAGCCTGTCACTCGTATAACATTGACAGGGCGGCCAGCTGCCCGTATTCCGGGACGCATCGCGATCCTGACAAAGCGCGACCTTGACTTACAACCTACATGCACAATCATTATATTGTCGCATAGCATTAAATCGGTTCCGTGGCATGACTTTAACGCGCGCTCGGGTGGGGGTCAATTTGTCCACCTCCGAGAGAATTTTTTTTCAAACGGCGCGGCGTAGCCACGCTAAACTTTGTACCACTGTGGGCAATTGAATAGCGGATCTTTTCGCATAGAAATCAGAGGTACTTCGTGAGACCGTCTTCATTGACAGGTCACAGTTAGGCCGTGGCTGTCAGCGAAGGCCATTTTTAGGGAATCGTTCATCTGATGCGACAATAGGGTGCTTGATGAAGCCATACATGTCTGAGATAGCTTCTTAGGCAATCAAACAATTGAATTTAGAATTGCAACAAATTCCAATGACCTAAGGTCACGAATAAAGATAAGACCGAGGTAAAACGAACCAGCTTTCTTACTCGAGAGCTTGTTTCGTGAGGTACATTCTGACGCTCATTTCAAATTTCTTAATAACAAGGACTGCGAGAGTCATGTTCCGTGGACTTATTAAAGGTCAGGATAGGTAACTGGCCTAAAATGACCCGGGTCAATATTTGTTTTTAGGAACCTACTGCCTAGCGTAGTCCTTGCCGCCTATCCAAATACCAAAGCAGAAGCAATCCCGAAGGTTTTTGGTCACCTTAACTCCTTTCAGATAAAAAGGTCATTGACCTTCAATGAAAACTAGCGACATTTTGCTCACAATAGCTATCTAGGTCCAAAGCGGAGGCATGAGGAGATCTGGGAGCACCACTGGACACCAGTCTACAGTTTTACCTTGTTTGGCCTTAGCTGACACCAAAGTCATAATCTAGGAACCTCAAATTCAGACAAAAGTGAGGTTACTTGCAGGCCAACCTACCTTATGAATTTGGTGTGCCTGGGTCCCTCAGTTTTCGAGATCTCGGGAGTTAAATTGACCCCTCCCAAACGACCGAAGGGTATTCAATCGGCCAGCCGGGTGCGTGTTATCATATTTTCAAAGCTTGACCAGACGTAAGCCTGAACTGAGGTGAATACACCGTACACACTTCAGGCGTTCCACTTTGGACTATGAACCCACTATTGCTTGAGTAAACCCGGCATCAGCTTGAATATCATACTGCGATCGCAACTTCGAATCAGATTTGGAACTGTCACTGGCATTCATATGTTCATTGCGAACCGTTTGATATCATAAGAGCATCCAGACATTAAAATTTGCAGCACGCATTGAACAAAACTAACTGCACAACAATACACCACTTTTACATCTAACGCCTCTTCAAATGAGATCGCGGCTCTTTGAACCGACATCTGATGTAATAGTACGGTTCAAAACAGTCGAGTCAGGTTCACAGAACATTTCGGCAAGTGCCTCAAACAGCTTGCCGACGGACAAAAGACGGGACGAGCACTGGGTTGGCTGGCTGACTTTCGGTAGCGCAGTGGTGTAACTGCGACCTGAGCTCTGCCCAATGAGGTGGCGCTTAGTTACACGCCAATGGGGAAGCCTTTAGTCCAAATATGGGTTTAACTAGAATCAGCTGATCTAACCCCGTGGAGACGTAAAGCGCGCAAGAATAACACACTGGGATATCGTTGAAATGCAAAGCTATAGGGAAGGGGTTTGTGGCTAACGACATCACCACGATCACAATATCGACATGAGACCGGGGCCTGCACATTCCCCAGATAAACAGGCAATAGCGCACCGACCGTCGGTATGGGTTGCTATGTTGGAACCGATGAGTTGCTTGTAAACAAACGCACTTACTTCGCCTCTCGGGAGGGTAGGAAATGGGCTTGGATAGTGACGTCATAGGTAAGGATGGGCTTTGGTGGTGACGTCATAGGTAAGGAGTGGGCTTACCCCGAAGTAAGGAATGGCCCACATTGGCTCATGAACAACGGAGCTCAGAGGAGCGGAGTTTCATTTCACGCCATACCGGCCCCTTCCTACCCGCCTGAGACGAGAGGCAGGCGGCGCAATATAGCCTCCCCTGCCGAGTGCAACGTTCCAACGACAAAAACGCTGATCAGCTGGCTCGCTCCACTGGCGAGGGTGAGCTCGGTGCAGCACCACAGGTCCGCTGCGATGGCGGACGTACCTGAACACCGCGTGACGGGCGCCCCTGACCGCGCCGTCGACCCGGTCCCAGTACGCACCTGAGACGCGCACCTTCTTCATGGTTTTGCTCGAGTTGTTCTGCACGTGCACGTTGACGTTGATGGGTTCGCCGTGGTAGTAGATGTCTTTGTCAAGCGAGGCCTCCAGGTGCAGCTTGTTGGGCGACATCATGAACTCCTTGCTGGTCTCTACCGACGGCTGTTCGCCCGGCTTGGACGGCGCGTACATGATCTTGCGGATGGCTAACCGCACTGAGTTCCTGTAACAGCGGCGGACGGCGGTCGATCAGACGTTACGTCCCGCGGGGCACCTGGGGCGGCAAACGCCGGCACGCGTCGACAGGTCAGCTGCCCACGCTAGCGGACGCCGCAGCTGTAGCCCCCGCTGTAGCCTCCGTTGCCCCTCTGACGCTGATCGGCGGCACACAATACAGCCGCAACGTACATCTCATATGTTGTGTTCCAGCATGTACATAACGTGTTTCAACAGAACACTAAAGCGGCGACTTTGTACGGCGAGGTCTTCCTCAGTTTTTTTTTCTTGAGTTATTTTACCCTTTTACGTCACCCTCCATATCTCACCTGCCAAATTTGGCCAAATAGATGGCCTTATGTTCCTGTAAAATCGGAAGCGCTCCTGACGTCACCGCGACGTAAATATGACCTAAGTTTACGAGGTGAATGCATCTGCGTTTATACTGTGTTTAATGCATCATTTAATGCCGGGTGTACAGTTCGATTACCTAAGCACACTACGAAGTTATCATAACCAGTTTGTTGGATTACTTGAACTACGGTCCACATGTACGGCAGTGCTCTTTGTGGCAACTATTTAAGTGAGCAAAGGTGGTCCAAGAACAACATTTTGATCGATTTACATTTCAAATATGCATAAAAGTGCGGAAATTCACGCCAGTACCAATTTCCCAACCGCGTGCGGCAGGGCTTGGTTGCATCATTTAATTTGTCCCGAGAAACCGGGGAAGTGCACTAAAACCTGCGGTGCCATGCACCAGAGGCGGGCCAGTCACCCCGCCTGCCGTCTGCCGGCAGCGGCCGGGGTCCGGCGCCGTCGGGCGGCTCCTGCCATCCACCGGCGGCCGTCCTCGCATGGCTGGGCAACACGAGCACCGCCAGAGGGCCGGCGGGCCTCAACGCTGAGTGACCATCGACGCTCCGTGGCCGTCGGCACGGCCATGGCCGGCGGGCTTCCGCACTGAGTGGCCATCGGCGCGGCCGGGGCGGGACCCGTCAGCGACGGCCTGACCGGCCGTCGACGACACCGGCTGCGGGGTCGGCGGGCGCGCGCGTCCGGTCACCCGGCGCGGCGATGCAGCGTCGCACGGGACCGCTGCGGACCGGCCCGGCGCCGGACCGCAGTGTGCGCTCGGGCCCGTGCCCGGGCTCCGGCTAGCGTGGCCGGGATCGGCGGGCTGTTCCGAGCGTGTGGCGCGCCCAGTGGGCCCAGACGGCCCGCCAGCGGCCGGCCTGCTGATCGGCTGCGTCACCCGACCACCGATGGAAGGCGGGTCTGAGTACGGCGGCGGCAGGCTAGCTCGGACGAGCACGCCCGTTGACCGAAGCGGCACGACCGGGGAAACCCACGCGTCAGGTACGACCTGCCAGATGTGACTCACGACGCCCGGACCGTCCCGCAGGTTCATCGTATGCCGAAGGGGACCAATTCTCCCGACTCCATGGTCCACTAGGCTGTCCATGCCGAGCTGTCACTGCTGGGGCTCCGCGCGTCCTGACCGGAGCGGCCTGTCCTGAGAGCAGCAGACACCCAAGTCCCGCCAAGCGATGCATTCAAAATGGGCACGACCCGTAGCGTGGGTGGCTCCTGGAGGCTTGAACCAGAGCAGCCTCCACAGCACACCATTCGCGTCAGCCAAAGCCCGCCGGCGTCTGAGCCGACCGCTGAATCTCGGTGCCACCCGTCTGGGTCGACCGTCCCGCCGCGGGCGGGGACCGGGTCGAGCCAGACAGCATCGGCTTCGACGCCGGCCACCGACGCCGCCCAGGTGCGCGGGAGTTGCACGCCGACGCTGACGCTCCTCCGCGATTGCGCGCGCGGCACGCGGCCGGAGAGTTGGCTCGTTACCTGCGATAACGAGGCGCCGCCTGCGCCGTAGACGCCTCATCATCAGTGCGCTCGAGTGCGTGCTGGGCAGGGCACTGAGGCTGATCGCAGTGCCGGTAATGATCCCGGGAGGCATATAGCTGACCAGCTCGCCCAGAAAAACCGGAGACAACAGGCTTTTTGCGACTTCGTTTCCGCTTCATTCTCCATGCAGACGCGTTGCTCTATTTACAGGGATCACGCGAAAGGAAAACACAAAATAAAAACCGGCAGCGTGTACCTTTACCGTGGTTCCAGAAGTAGCCAATCACACCAAGACGAGCTCCTGCAGCAGACCATAAACACTGACGTCATACAACAGAGGCGAAGCGCACTAGGTGGCAATTTTTCTAACTTGCTCAGAGTGCCGTATAAGATCAGGCCTCGGCCCCGTCAGCGGCGATCATTCACCTGTAGCCTGGGCGAAGAACGCTGCGAGGCAGCGCCCTGCTGCGACCCTATCGATTCCTTCGCTCAACGACAACGACATGCGACCGGCGGCCTCCTGGCCTCGCATCGCGCAATCACCGGGATGTCGGCCCGATGCTGGAGCGCCTCTCGAGTGAGCGGTCGGGACGGCGCGCCGCCGGCGCCAGGCCGGCCCGCAGCTGGACTCGCCGTGCCCTTCCTTGGATCTCAGGCCCGGGCGGCTGCGGCCAATCTGTCCCGGCGGAGCACCGCCCAGCGGGCCATCTCGAGTTGTAATCCCCTGCGGACTCTTTGTCGGCGGTTGCAACAGGGCTCGGCGCGGGGCGGCCGCCGCCGACGCTGGCCACCGAGCGGTGAAGCTCATTGGCGCGTGGAGTGAAGTCAACCCGGACACCCGAGTTTCCAGCGACGGCGACGCTCGCGAACGCGTGCGGCTGGGTGCGGGTGATACGAACCGCCGCACGAGGTGCACCGGTCTTTGGATCTGCAGGCAGGTGTAACCGACACTCCACAGCCTTTGGGGCGACCGGCAGGCCTTCTGAGGCGTCACAGGTCGCTCGGACGCCGTGGAGTCAGAGCTCTGCTTTGGCAGCCCAACCGCGCCGGGCAGGGCAGGACAAGTCAAGGCAGGACAGGGCAGGGCAGGGCAGGGCAGGGCAGGACAGAGCAGGACAGGCAGGGCAGAGCGGGGCAGGGCAGGGCAGGGCAGAGCAAAGCAAAGCAGAGCAGGGCAGAGCAGGGCAGGGTAAGACAGGACAGGACAGGACAGGACAGGACAGGACAGGACAGGACAGGACAGGACAGGACAGGACAGGACAGGACAGGACAGGACAGGACAGGACAGGACAGGGCAGGACAGGGCAGGACAACGGCAGGCGGCAGACGAGCCCGGAGCGGAGTCGGTAGATGCGTCCGTCCGGATGCCAGCTCAAAACATCCCACAGCATCTCCACCTCCCAGGCAGCTTCTCACGAACAGCGCTGCTAAACTGTGATATGCTCTGATGCTGCTGGTGATGATAATTTGGGCTTTAGGGTGCACCCACAACCCTGACCTTATGACGCCCATGTGCTCTGTTTTGAATAGCGTCCCACACGACCTTTGGGTGGAACGACTCAATTGCCTCTCCCAATCGAACAGCATCCCGGATAAATCCTCTTTAGCCTCACTAACAACTACCGGCAGCTGAAAAGCTATATCGATGAGATCCCCTGCATGACCAGTCATGATATGGCCGTGACACGTGACCTGGGCTGGACCGTGACACGTGACCTGTGGTTGGACCGTGACACGTGACCTGGCCGCCGGACCGTGACACGTGACCTGACGGCCCGATCGAGACACGTGAACTGGCGGCTGAACCACATCACTTGACCTAGGCCCGATTCCTCATTGACTGACGACCCAAGTTTCGCGCCTGGGGGTGGCGTCGCAGACAGACGCCAATGAAGGACACCTTTAATTGCAACTATGGACACCAGCAGAATCAGCTGATTCAACCCCATAGAGAAATAAAGCGCGCAAGAATGGCGCGCTTGGATATCATTGGAATGCAAAGCTACTGACAAGCGGTCTAAGGCTAACGACATCATTGTGGTCACACTATCCACATGGCACCGAGGCCTGTTTATTCGCCAGACAAACAAGACTAGGAAAAGCGCACCGACCGCGGCTATGCGTTGCTATGCCAACAGCAACGACCTACTTGTAAACAAACGCACTTACTTCGCCTCTCGGGCGAGCAGTGAATGGGACTGGATCATGACGTCATATGTAAGGAATACTTTGCATCGCCAGTGAAGAGCATAGTCCTGGCGGCCGGACCGTGTCACGTGGCCCGGGGGCGGGGCGATCCGGACACTCGACCCTAGTTCCCGTCAGCCGCCGCTGTGATCGTGCTGGTATCCAGGAATACCCAGGTAATATCGGCCATGTCTCGCCGGCCCACTGGCAGCTGCCGCCGACAGGCTCCCCCGGGTCGTGCTTGCTCCACGTAGGGAACTGGTGTCCATCACACGGCTAACGCTGCACCCTATGCCTTGTCAAGGCGGGCGGAACCCGGTCTGAAGATTGCTCAGGGGACGCTGGAAGGATGGGCACCACGTATCAAAGGGCAGCGCAGACCCAAGGTTGAGTGAAGCAACTGGACCTGTTGGAATAACTGTTCAGATTATTGTCCTCGTCTGGTGTTTAAGTATGTTAACGTGTGTACATACAGCACACCGGACGAGGACGAAAGGTCGAATAATTATTCCAACCGTGGCACCAATGCCTCATCTCGATCAATCCGTAAAACCACAGCTGGACCCCGATGTTTACCGATCTCCGTCATACAGCACACCGGACGAGAACGAAAGGTCAAATAATTACTCCAACCGTGGTACAAACGCCTCGCCTCAATCGTTCCGCAAAACCACAGCTGCGCCTCGTTGCTTACCGATCTCCGTAACGCGCCGAGTGGGGCAACGCCGTCATGAACGGCGAGTTCGGTCCAACGATGTGGGGCGGCGGGGGTCATTCCAAGGGCACTCCAGCTGATGGCTCTTTCAGAGCTCTCGCAGATAACGGAAAGTGATCCCGGGAGAAGTTCCGCAGACAAAGAGCGCATCAGGCGGTCTGAATGGAGAGCCTGAACCAGGCCATGGACTCCACACTCCTCCAGCCTAGCTGCACGTCAGCGTCGCCACACCATGCCGTTGCTTACAGCAC